TTTTACCGCGTAACTTTTTGTATATTGTTGCTGTGCCGGGTGTGCACGTTTTGACTATATTTTGAAGATTTTTGTCCGGGTGTTTTTGATTCGACGGTGTTTTAAGTCGACTGGATTTTTCTGTGTAATTGAAAATTGTCTGTGCAGTAGAATAAATGTTCTGAAATGTCATTATCTATATTCTGTGCGAATTTGGTGAATTTTAATTTTCAGGAAAAATTGTGTAAATTCCGTATACTGCCGTTGTGCTGCCCGATTTTTGTCTGATTTCTGATTTTGTCTGGATTTCTCTGAATTGATATGCTATTTGTATATGCTATAAAAAGGGAGTTATAAGGGGCCTGGATCCTATGAGATTCAATTAGTGTCTGGGAAATCTGAAATGAGCTCAATCTGAATTCTGTTCTGTTCCGGATCCGAGGAAATCTGTTTAGGTACTATAAGCACTATATATGTATTCTGGTGCGATAAGCACATCTGTTCTGGTGCCGTGAGCACAAAGGGAGATATAAGGGGCCTGGATCCTATGAGATTCAGTCAGTTTCAGGGAATTTAGCTATTAATTATATATCTGATATATGTTTGTTCTGATCTGTTCCATTCTGATCTGTTTCTGATTTGATATATGTCTGTTTCAGTTCTGATCTGATTTTGATTTGATATGTCCGTATCTGTTCTGATTTGATCTGTTTTGTTATGAATTGTCCGACTATGATTTATGTACGAAGATTCCGATATCTGTCTGATTCTGTTTTGGTTTCTGATTTGGATTTGGATCTGATGTTTTTGGTTTTGAAGTCTGAGAATTTTGATTGGAGGTTTGTTGCTTTGCTGAGCTGTTGAGCTCACTCTCGTTTTCTGGTGGTTTTCAGGTTCTGGGAAAGGGAAGGAAGTCCAGGACTAGAGTTCAGAGTCCGATCTGTGATAGGTACTTTTGTACTTTTGCTTTTTGTACGGTCATGGCCTTTCTTCTGTATTTCTTTTGTTAGCCATGTACCGTATTTGTAGATGATTGTTTTGAGGAAAAGAAAGAAAAATATAGATGATTTGTTCCGCTGCATTTGATGATTCATAGTAGCTCTGGTCTGTTCTGTGTGTTGGTGTTTTGAGTTGAAATAATTTGGAAGATTTAGTTCAGTAAGCAAATTCCAAAGCCAGATCCTGGTCAGTCTGTTCGGTTCGTTCCGTGTCGCGACCCGGTGCGAGCGGGATCCGTCCCGGTCGGGTCGGGTCGTGACAAATGTAACTCAAAACAATATCGATCTTACAGGTACAAATAGAAACAAAGAAGAAACATAAGGAAATAAATAGCAGCTCTAATTTGATAAAGTACCTCCAACTTTCATGCCAACCAGAACATCTTTGAGGCCCTGAATTACCTATAGTAGGACAAATAACAACATAACTAACCGAGTAATGAAATATATTGACAAAATCAAAAATAAGAATAAAAAATTTATTTTGTATATATATATATATATATACATCTTTTCCTTTATCGAAAAAAAAAAATTGATGCAGATTGTTTAAATGGAAAGTGATAAAATAGAAACGCAAAATGCATATTCAATTGTAATTTGAAAACCAACGGTTGCAGAAGAAACAAGTAACTGACCTCCTTTCCATCCAATGAAATTATCACAGGCTTGCTTTCACCGCTAAGTTGATTCTGTGTGCTATACCAGATTACATGTACACCATATAACGGAAAAAGGCCGCAATTAATGGCAAAAAAGATTTATTTTTAAGATCAATAGAGAAATATATAACAATGATTTATAAAGATAACTATTTCAGTCTCAGTTAATGTAATATGAGAATTATAGAGAAATATATCGAGAAATAACACTAATCTGGAAAGAGCATTAACATTATGAGAAATAAATCCGCTACTTGACAACTCAGGGCTTAAATACTATCGTCCATAGAAAAAAATGCTATTTAAGTACTAGCGTAAAAATTATAGAAACAAAGAGAAACAATGTCATTAAGTATTTACCTATGTACAAAGTATCCATTTGAACGTCGACAAACATAATTAATTTCAACTACATCTCCTTCGTGTGTCTCTGGCCCTTCCCCTTCTACGATTTCTTACACAAAAAAAAAAAACAACAACAAATATAAGAAATCTCAATTTTTACATAATGTAACTAAGATATTTTGACAAACAAATTATTAATAAGGAATACCTTCAATTTTTACTCCACTTTTCAGCTTTTGATACCTGAATTCTTCAAATTGAAACAATAACACTTGAGAACAAATATGGACAATAGTTATGAGGTAGACCTCCCTAATAACATGCTCTTACTTCAACATTTAAAAAAAAAATCTACAACAAGGAAGCTACTATTGTGGAGGTTAGTATATAATATGAGGTTAATCTCTAAGTGCATGTATTCTAAATGCAAAACATGAATTTTTTTACCATCAAACCTAACAGATTTAATATCAGGTATTATTTTAGAGGGGGGAACATCTATTCTCCTAAAAAGATGAGACTAATGTGTGGTTAGTAGATGAATAATGTAAATCTCTGAAAGCAATATGTAGGCATGGTTTTGCCTGACAAGAACACAACATACATTTACACTAGAAAGCCAATATGACAACCTAAATATGATAAGCTAGAGATCTATGCAAGGGTAGTAACTTGTTCAAGTTCAAATGACTAAGATTAGAAATGGCCCACCCAAACTCAACTTAAAAGGCAACTTGAGTCAATCAAATCCAATTATCAAGACATGATGCATTGACATTTTCGGTGCGGTGGGAATGTTTTGTTGACAAACATCTAGCTTGGAGATAAATTAAAGAGGCATATAGAGAAGTTGATTGAAGGTGGTCTTAATTAGGTTAAAAACAAGAGGACTTTCATATATAATGAGAGCTAGTTCATCTTGAGCTTCAATCACTTTTGTTATTATCTAAGGAGAAAATGAGATTGAATCATAAGAACAAGACGATGAAGATTTTGAGGATCAAAAAATTCTACTTGATGAAGAAAGATATTATGTGAATGAAAGATATGATGATGACTAATGAAGTCTCTTTAGTTTATTTTATGAAATTTATAATTTTATGCATTTAAATTTAGCCTTTTTTATGAGTTAAATATGTTTTTATGGAATCTTAAAGCTTTTAAATATTAAATCAAACCACTACACTATTTTAATATCTTTTGTTATTAACTTTTATGCATAAAAGAAATCATTAGAATTTTTAATTTGAATATTCACTATCAAAGTTTATCTTGAAATTAGGTTTATCCATCACATTTATTTTCAATTTTATATCATATTTTAAGTCATTTATTAATTAATTTATGTTTACTAATTGTTACTAAATAAATCATTATATTTTTTGACAATTATTACTTAATGTGGTTTTTATACATAATGAGTTAGGAGTGCTACAGTTAAGAAAAGCACAGCTTTACTTCTCATTTGTGCATTGAAGCAAAAGGCCTTGCACATAATATTGTGCTTTGAGTATGAAAGCTTCATTTATAGACTGATACGCCGGTTCAGGAACCGGCCCAGGAGCCGGTATTACAGGAGGCGGAACAAGGGGTTCCGCCCCCTTTGATTCCGCCCAAATGTGGGGTCCGCGTGGGAATTTTGGGAAGGAGTGGGCGGCTAGGGGAGAGAGTAAATTTTTGAATGAGAGAGATTTGAATTAGGTTTGTATTAGAAAATTAATGGTATTATGAGGGGGATTGGTTTGGGGTTAGTTTTCAGGCTTTGTTTTGTTCTTCTCTTGGAAATTCTTTGGCGTCTTGGGCTCTAAGCATCTTGTTTAGAGATTGGGAGAGAACGATCCTCCTCTCGAATTGAGGATCACTTGTATCTTGCTTTTGTGTGTTTTGCTTTGCTTCCCTTATTGCAATCTATCGTTTTAAGGCTGATTTCGCCCAGATTTTGCTTATTTCTCGTTGTTTTCCTCCAATTAGTGATAGGTTTGTTTGCGAACTCAAGTATTCCCTAAGGGTTACTTGCGAACTCAAGTATTTCCTATCAAATTGGTATCAGAGCAAGTCTCGGGACCGGTGGAGGGCTGTTTTCAACGAATTCCAGCAGCAGTTTCTCGCCCCAAATAGGAAGAAGTTGCTGTTTTTTTACTCCAAAATCCTATTTTTGTGAATCTACAAAAGCCGGGTTTTGATGGCGGCCAAAAAAGTGGATGCATTGGAGGAAAGACTTGAAGGGGAGATGAATCAAATCAAAACGACGGTGGAGGAAAGGATTTCTTCCATGGAGGGACAAATCACCGACCTCCGAGATATGATGAAAAAAATGTTAGAGATTCAAAATCAAACAGCGGCTTCAGTGGCCAAAGGGATGGAAGGAAAAAATAAGAACTCTGAAATCCGTAGAGAGGAAGATGAGGTGGAGATCGTGGAAGGAGAAGGAAGAATGCCCAATATGGAGCCTGTCCAGAGGGAAGAAAGAGGAGGATATGGGAAACGCCAAGAGGGATACTATGGTCGCCATGGTGCTGATTTTGAAGACAGAAGGGGGGATTTCGAAGGGAGTTTGGGCTATGGCAGAGCAAGGGAAGAACGGGACACATGGGGTGGTCCGAGCACTTGGGAAAGGGGAAGTTATGGAAGAATCAGGGGAAATGGTGGTGACCAGAAGGTGAGGAAATTAAAGATGCCCATCTTCGAAGGAGAAGATGAGTATGGATGGATTTACAAGGTAGAGCGGTATTTTATCGTCAATGGGTTGACGGAGGAGTAGAAGCTGACAGCAGCGGGATTGTGCTTGGAAGGGAAAGCCCTATCGTGGTTTCAGTGGAGAGACCAACGGAGGCCAATCAGGAACTGGAGGGAATTTAAAGACTGCATAATAGAGCATTTCCAAACCGATCGGGGAGGAGACTTCTATGTGCAGTTCTTTGCTTTGACATAGGAGGGATCAGTAGCAGATTACCCGGGAGCAATTTGAGCATCTAGCTAGCAGGGTGGAGAGACTCTCAGATACAGTGTTGGAGGGGAATTTCATGAAAGGGTTAAAGGCGGAATTTCATGAAAGGTTTAAAGGCGGAGATCCGAGCAGCAGTGAAGGTATTGATGCCCCGTGACTTGGGGGAGGCCATGAAGTTGGCCCAACTGGTGGAAAATTAGAGGAATTTGGGGAAGGGAGCCAAGAGTAGCAGCATTGGGGGCACGTACAGGATGATGACTACTCATCTCGCACCTAAAGGTCCTGCAACAGGAGGGAATCGAGAGGCTACCAAGGAGAAGACAGGAGGAGAAAATGGGGGTAACTTCAAGCAACTGACAGAGAAAGAGATGCAGGAGAAGAAGGCTAAAGGGTTGTGCTTCTGATGCGATGAAAAGTACACACCAGGACATCGGTGTAAGGATCGAACTCTTCAGGTTCTCACCGTCTGCGATGACGATGTAACTGAGGAGGGAGGTGAGGAGGAGACAGAGGAGGATATGGAGTAGAAGCTACACTTGGAACTGGTTGAGGTCTCCCTGAACTCAGTGGTAGAATTCACTACGAATCACACTATGAAGGTGAAGGAGAGATAGAGGACCGAGAGGTTGTGGTGTTGATTGATATTGGGGCTACTCACAATTTCATTTCCACCCAGGCCGTCAACCAACTGGGAGTGAGATTGGTGGACACCGACTGTTACGGAGTGATGATAGGCATGGGGAAGGTGGAGAAAGGCCAGTGGATTTGCAGAGGAGTGCGACTGAGGATCCAAGGGATATAAGTGAGGGAGGACTTTCTTTCACTGGAGCTTGGGAGCACGGACGTCATCCTGGGGATGAAATGGCTGCAAACTTTGGGTGACACTAAAGTGAATTAGGGAGCACTCACGATGGAGTTGATGGTGGATGGAAGGAAGGTAGTGATTAAGGGGGATGCGGGGCTTTCCAAATCTCGGGTTTCACTTAAAACGATGGTGAGAGATATCCAGTTGGCAGGCGGAGGGTATTTGGTGGAGTTGCACAGTTTGGAGGGAGCAAGATTGGAGGATGGAGGAGACATACCCCTGTCCATTCAGCCGTTGATTCAGAAGTTCCACGAGGTGTTTCAGCCACCTCAGGGATTGCCATCGTAGAGGGAGCAGGAGCATGCCATCGTGTTGAAGGAGGGAGTGTAGCACATCAGTGTCCGACCTTATCGCTACTCTCAGTTCCGGAATGATGAAATAGAAAGGTTGATTAGAGAGATGCTGGAGGCAGAGATTATCAGATCCAGCATCAGCCCTTTTTCTAGCCCTGTTCTGTTGGTGAAAAAGAAGGATGGCAGCTGACGTTTTTGCGTGGACTACAAAGCACTCAATAAGGAAACTATACCTGACAAGTTTCCTATACCAGTCATTGACGAGCTGTAAGATGAATTGAGTGGGACCATGATCTTCAGCAAGATAGACTTGAAACCGGGTTACCATCAAATCCGAATGAAGAACGAGGATGTACCAGAACGACCTTTAGAAGTCATGAAGGACTTTAAGAGTTCCTGGTATTTCCATTTGGCTTCACCAATGCTCCAGCTACTTTCCAGGCCCTTATGAATTAGGTTTTCAAACCTTATATCAGACGATTTATACTGGTATTCTTTGACGACATTCTGGTCTACAGCAGGACAGAAGAGGAGCACTGGGAACATTTGAAGAGGGTGTTAGAGGTACTGCAGGAGCACCAACTGAGGGCTAATTTGAAGAAATGCTGCTTTGCACAAGCCAATGTAGAGTACTTGGGCCATGTGGTGTCAAAAGAGGGAGTCGCAGCAGATCAGTCCAAAATTGAAGCAATGATAAGGTGGCCAGTGCCAAAAAATCTGAAGGAATTCCTAGGACTGACGGGTTACTACAAGAGGTTTATGAAGGTGTACAACTTCATAGCATGGTCACTCACTGAACAATTGAAGAAGGACGGGTTCCTATGGGGGGAGGCGGCCACATCAGCATTTGAGAGCTTGAAGAAAGCAATGATTATGGTGTCGGCCCTAGCCTTGCCAGATTTCACTCAGACCTTCATTGTGGATATAGATGCTTCTGGGTACGAGTTGGGTGCAGTACTAATGTAGAGTCGTAGACCCATTGCTTATTTCAACCAGGTATTGACTACTAGAGCACGACTGAAATTAGTTTACGAGAGAGAATTAATGGCCATCGTCTTGGCCATCCATAAGTGGCGGCCCTACTGGCTTGAGAGACATTTCATTGTCAGAACAGGTCAGCGAAGCCTAAAATACCTGCTGAAACAGCGGATGGTGACGGAAGAGCATCAAAGGTGTTTGTCCAAGTTGCTAGGGTACGATTTTGAGATTCAGTATAGACCAGGGGTGGAGAACAAGGCGGCGGACGCTTTGTCCAGATGTATGGGGGAGCTGCAGACGTTGACACTATTCATTGCTTTGATGCTTGACTGGGATGCTATTAGGGAAGAAAGTGCTAAAGATGAAGAATTGGGAAGGATCAGGTCAGATTTGTTGAAAGAGGAGGGTAGCCATCCAGGGTACTCATTAAAGAGAGACAGACTGTTGTACCCATGGTTTAAAATTGCGCAATATGAGGCTCGCCTTGAGGCCCGCCTTTGCTCAATTCCAGTAAAAAACGCCTCGATGCTTACGCCTCGAGTTTTTTTTTATGAGGCTTCCGCCTCAACTTGGTTGAGGCCCGCCTTGAAGCCCGCCTCGCCTCACGCTATATATATTAAAACTTACATAAATCTTGAAGTAAATGTCCGACATTGGACTCTATAAGAGAGGAGGAAGGAGAGAGAGCAGTTCACCATAATGATGATTCAAATGAAGAACCCCTTAGTGATTATAGTGCTGATGACTTATGAGTTCTTATGTGATATGTCATTGCTATTTATTTTTGGAAATTAGAATTATATGTTAATGAAAAAAATACTGGGATTTGGGAAAGATATAATTTTGAGTTAAACTATATTTCATGTTCTCTTATTATTGAGATATTTTGATTTCACTTCATATCTTATGCTTTTTTATGTTTTATATTATTCACTCATTAGTATATAAAAAAATTATCATTTTATGTTTACGCAATCTTTTGATTTTGAGGCTTACGCCTCAAAACGCCTTGAGGCTTACGCCTCGCCTCACGAATGAAAAATGCCTCAATACCCGAATACGCAATTTTAAACATTGGCTGTACCAGGGAAGATTTGTGATGCCCCGTACCACGATCCATATCCCAAATTTACTCCAGGAATTTCATGGAAGCGCAGTTGGGGGCCATTAAGGAGTGCAGAAGACCTACAAGAGACTAGCAGTCGAGCTTTACTATAAGGGAATGCATAGAGATGTAGAGGAGATGGTGGCAAGGTGTGAGATCTGTCAGAGGAACAAATATTTGACTATGTCACCAGGAGAACTATTACAGCCATTGGCGCTACCGGAACGAGTATGGGAGGAGATATTCATGGATTTCATAGATGGGCTGCCCCATTCATAAGGCTTCACAATGATCTTGGTGGTGGTGGATAGATTGAGCAAGTATGCGCATTTCATCCCCCTCCAACAGCCTTACACCGCGGTGATAGTGGCTTCAACTTTCATTAGAGAGGTGGTCAGATTGAATGGCGTACTAGAGGCAATCGTGTCAGACAGAGATATGGTGTTCCTCAGTCATTTTTTGAAAGAATTGTTCAGGTTACAGGGGACAATTCTGAAGAGGAGCATCGCTTATCACCCACAAATAGATGGCCAAACAGAGGTGGTCAATAGGAGCTTGGAGACCTACTTAAGATGTTTTGTGTCGAAGCACCCAAGCTTTGGGCCAAGTGGCTGCCTTGGGCGGAGTACCGGTACAACACCTCTTTTCACTCAACATCATAGATGACTCCATTCAAGGTAGGGCTGCAAGCAAACCAAACGTTCGACGAGCTACTCGTTGTCCGGTTCGATTAAAGCTCGTTTATGATCGTTTAATTAACTAAACAAACAAACTTGAACAATATTTTAAATACTCGATTCTTAAATAAACAAACTTGAACACTAATGTGTTCGGCTCATTTATGTTCACGAACAACATCATTTGAAGTTCGTGAACAAGCTCGACATTAAACTCGATAAGAAGCTCGATTCTTGTTCGAATTTGAACTCGTGAATAAGCTCAATAAAAATAATTAATATTTGACTATATAATTAATAAATATAAATAATCATTGCTTTTGTTACATAGACAATTGCTTTTATTATAAATGTATTTGTTCATAGATATGTTCATGAACGTGTTTGTTTGATAGTTAAAAAAAATTCTTAAATATGTTTGCGAACAAGCTTGATAAGCACTAAACGAACGAACATGAACTGAACATGAACCGAACATGAACACTCATTAATTTAAATGAACCAAACATGAACACAAACAATAAAGCTCGAACAAACATGAACCAACCTTGAACAAGCTGATATTAAATGAACACAAACATGAACACTCACATACTCGGCTCGGCTCGGTTCGTTTGCAGCCCTAATTCAAGGTGTTGTATGGAAGAGACTCCCCTCACTTGGTGCACTTTGGGAGTAGCAATACTCCAGTTTCTTCAGTGGAGGAGTACTAGGAGGAGAGGGATCGAGTGTTAGAGGAATTGAAGAAACAGCTACTGAGAGCTCAACAGATTATGAAGAAGCAGGCTGATTGGCATAGGAAGGACATCCAGTTCGAAGCAGGAAATAAAGTGTTCTTAAAGCTCCGACCATACCGGCATAAGACAGTCACCAACAGGAGAAATGAAAAGCTCGCTCCAAGATACTTTGGACCTTATGAAATATTTAGAAAAATCGGAGCAATAGCATATCGGCTAAAACTACCACCCACGGCGACTATTCATCCAGTTTTTCATGTGTCACAGCTGAGAAGAGTCATTGGAGATTACACAGCCAGCTCAGAGTTACCGGCCACGCTTACGGAGAATTTAAAGGTGATTATGGTACCCTTAGAGTTGATGGGTGTTCGTCAGAAAGAAGAGGGAGCAAAAGAAGTGTTGATCAGGTGGAAGAATCTGTCGGACTACGATGCCACGTGGGAGCCATACGAGAGGGTGAAACAGCAGTTTCCTAGTTTTCACCTTGAGGACAAAGTGATTTTTTGGTAGGGCAGTATTGATACGCCGGTTCATCTTGAACCGGCCCAGGAGCCGGCCCAACGGCCGGCTCGATATTACAAAAGGTGGAACAAGGGGTTCCGCCCCCATTGATTCCGCCCAGACGTGGGGCCCGCGTGGGAATTTTGGGAAGGAGTGGGCGGCTAGGGGGGAGAGGGAATTTTCGAATGAGAAGATTTGAATTAGGTTTGTATTAGAAAACTAATGGTATTATGAGGGGATTTGGTCTAGGGTTAGTTTTCAGGCTTTGTTTTGTTCTTCTCTTGGAATTTCTTTGGCGTCTTGGGCTCTAGGCATCTTGTCTAGAGATTGGGAGAGAACGATCCTCCTCTCGAATTGAGGATCACTTGTATCTTGCTTTTGTGTGTTTTGCTTTGCTTCCCTTATTGCAATCTATCGTTTTGGGGCTGATTTCGCCCAAATTTTGCTTATTTATCGCTGTTTTCCTCCAATTAGTGATAGGTTTGCTTGCGAACTCAAGTATTCCCTTAGGGTTACTTGCGAACTCATGTATTTCTTATCATAGACCTTATATCTATAGATAATATCGAAGTTTCATCTCCTAAACACTATCACATCAGTTGCTAAGTGCATCATTTATCATCCGTCATCTTCTCTATTTTGATTTAGCAATTAAAGTAAGATTACCTGATCATCTCAGGCTCCTTCATCTCCAACAATGACACTGAAAAGCTAGGATTTGCATGCAGAACAACAGCACCTAGGCATACAGATTTCCAAAGAAATGTCCTTCTTGATTTTCTACAGTTTGTTACAGTAGAACATCCTCCATGTAAGCCATCCAAGATAATTTTATTTGCTTTGCACTGTAAACTGTAAGGAGGAAAAGTGTTAACAGCATGTTCGTTCCATAGCATAATCCTGTTGTTCAAATGGAAAACTACGTTCATACAAAATATAAACAAAGTACAATCCCAACCCCCCCCCC